TTCCAACATGCCATGCGAAAGACCCGAGTCGTATCTAACTGCATGTTGCATGCCACTCCATGACAAAGTACCCCTCTATTGCCTCTGTGGCTGGGCTGTAAAATTATTGCTAATCATAATACAATTTGGAACCGTTTTTTGAGCCAGGCTAACACTGACATTTGCATTGGCCGCTGGAAGCGGTTGATTTTGTCTCCCTTTCCCTCTCCAAGGTGGCGTCCGCTAATTGCTTGGCTCAAAGAGTGCCCAAAGAGAATGTCGAGATACGGTTTGATTAGGGTAGGGAATGCTGCCTGCAGAACAATGTATTCAATTAAACAGGAACTCTCTGGAAAATAAAGAAGTACTGTGAACAAATGAGGTTTGATCGAGGAGAACTTAATTGGCGAGAACAAGTACATGGAGATGATGTTTTTTACAACACGACATTTTGTTAATTTGAATGCATTTCAAGAAGATTTTTCGTAAGCCAATAATATGAATTATTAGAAATTATAACAAGATCCATAGAAGTACTATAGAAGCATCGGAAAGATACTTAAAAATGAGGGAACCAACTGTTTTACGTTTATACGTTTTGAAATGAGATCTATGGGAACATTGCCACCTTTCTGATAACAGATGTTCAAATGTAACCCTCCCATCTTGCCCTTAACTAACGTTTTTAAGCTATGATCCGCAGAAACCAAATACCGCTTTGTCCCATATGTTGGCAAATTCAAGCGTATCATTTATTCAGATTTGCGCAGACGCATCGGTTGAAGCATATGTATAAGAATCACACAACAAAATGGGAACAGTTGTGTGTGATGAACCCTCCCCTTAGACAGAAACCAGAATCATGAACTCCCTCTAAAGCAACATGTACAGATCGTAGTCCTGTGCGCAGGCGCCGCCCTCTCCTGAGCTGGATAACAGTTGGCCAGACCTGATCAGGACCCCATTGTTGCTCTTGCAGATATTATCTGGCCTTCTAATGAATTACGGCACACTTTTCAATTAGATGCATGTTTATACAATAATTTTGATGATTCCAGGGAACGCATAGAGATGTGCCCCTACGACAGACAAAGGTCGTCACGTTCAATATGCCAGGAAAGACACAGGGGCGGGCGAGATCTGTCTGCGGGTGAGCGATGCCTGTGGACTCCGTCAGCTGTTGCCACTTCTGGTTTGGGCTGGGTGTTGACTATAATGCAGCCACCCTGTGGTCCCGGTAATTATTTTGTATATTCGTAGTGTGTTGTAGGCAAGGTGAAACGTTGTTGGAGGTATCCATAGAATGTGTCAGGCATACGGCATGATGAAAAGTCATTATGTGTTCAACAATACAGGGAATTACTTTTAGGTAACTATAATTGGATTGCCAAATGTAGTTAGATGATATTTTGGTACGATATATTACGGAGAACTCAGGAAATTCATATTATACATGCAACATACATACATGGAACTATATCAGTTTATAATATAAGCAAGGGACCTTTAAGTGAAGTTCCTTTTCCGAGTCCTTTCAGAAATGAATGATACTTTGGAATCCCTGTATTTGCTGTATGGATTAATTTGTTTCCTCAATTTTAATCCACTCATAATACGAAGTACTTAAGTCTTAATATCCCCAGAGAGTAAACTACATACTTGGGAATGTGTTCAGATAATCGCATAACTTGTATTAGTTGGCGCCTGACTTTGTCAATGTGTCAAGGCAATCTGACAGGCATCTCCGTTCGCGCTGTCCCACAATTGGACTTGGAATACCCGCACTAGTACTCGTACTCGTTTGCCTACGCACACGGCGACGGCGACTCGATTGAGATTGCAATTGCAATTGCCATTTGAATTAAGTATTGGAAAAGAGGGGAAAAAACAGAAACAGAAATTAAAAAAATACTCGTGTCTGCAGCTGCAGCAGTTTTTGTCGCACTTTTTCCGCTAAACTTGCAATTGCGAAAAAAAAGTAAGTATAGTATTTTGTGGTCTGAGTTTTTTATTGTTTGGTGCAATATAATTGCAGCCTCTCTGGGGGACAATGACGGCGACGGAGACGACGATGATGCTGGCCCTCAAGTGCACACTTCCTGTCATTTACATTAACAAAGTATTTTCTGCTAGTTTTTTTATTTTTATTTATTTTCATAACGCACTCAATGGGTTCTGAAAAGCCTGTGGCCATTGTTCGATTCGTAACGGGGCCTGGATCGGGGTCGGAGTCGGATACCCTGGGGTCGGGGTCCCTGGCTGTTGGCTGCGACTGCGCGTGACGCACGTGGTTCGTGGCTCATCAGAGTGGTGCAGTGCGTAGGGGTTGCGATTGGAATCGGTTCCCTATGGCCCTTGTGGGGACCCTTGGGGTTGGTTGCTCGAGCCCGCAGCATTTGCAGTTTCCATTTCGAGTTTTATGTGCCTCGCCTGCATTGTTCCAGAGCCTCGCTTGTGCCTGCCACACGCACTCGGCTGTGCCCTGCCTCCTTGACCCAAAACCCAAGACACATTAGACCCATTACCAGCAGCAGAGGCAGCCACAACAGCAGCTGCAGCTGCAGCTCCTTGGCCGGAGATCAAGACGGGGCAGGCGGACAGGACGGGCGTGTCAAATGAACAACCGGCTGTTGCCATTCCTCTAAATCAAAACTAGCCGGCGAGCAAACAAATTAAGAATGGGAAACTCAACCTCATTGTTGGACAGGAAAATGGGAAAACTCGTCCTCATTGTTCTGTGGTCTTTCTTCGCCCTTTCACATCGACATATGTGCAGCTTCACAGTTGACTTGGAGGCAATTAGCAGGACTCGCACTCGCACCCTTGCTGGCCACCGCTGCCACACCACTTTTCACTTTCTGGCCACCGCCCATGCAAATAGGCCTGAGTGGCTGTTGATCACAGTCCAACCCACACCAGCAGCACCACCGACTAGTGAGTGACTCCTTTCATCCACTGGTTCGCCACCACATTTGCAGCTGGCATTCGTGTTGTAGTCGTCGCCATTGTCGTTGTCCTTGTCATTGTCAGGGTCTAGCTGTTTTTACTTTTTTGTATCCTTTCTTTTGTGGATAACATTTGTCAACAATTTGCTTTTCGGCTTCGTACCTTTTTCAAGGGGTATGCCAGTATGTAACAGGGATATATTGCCGAATGTACAGTTTGTCATCAATTTAGAAGGAGTAGATAAAGATCCAGGGTATATCAGGACTATAAAAAGATCTTGTGCCCCTGCTGAACACTCTATATCCTTTTACAGGTAATCAAGCAATTCGGTGCTCTGTCTCTTTCTCATCTGGCACAATTTTGTCTGGTTTTCGGACTGTTGCGTGATTAATTGCCATATATTGTGGCATTTGAGGCCCTGCTGTTGCCACCGCTTTGTGTTTGGCATTGCCAAAAAGGATGCAGCTTTCCTTGGGGCAAGGCCAAGCTGCAAATGGGCCAGCCCATATAATTGCCGTCTGCGGCTATCCACCAACAGCTGCTGCAATCACGCAGCCTGCTCTCCCGACAGCCTGTGGCGATATTAAAATCCACTTAGAGAGGCGCGTGGCGCCGTCAGACAAACCAATTAAAGTAAACATTGAGTATCTGTAAATCCTTTTAGCACTAAATCTATATGCGCTATAATTGCAATATGAGATGCCACTCGAGCCTCCGCATGGCCACCCTTCCGCTTTCCACACAGTATCCTTTCCTAGGGTGCTACCCCTTCCTTGCCACCTATATATATTGTTTAGTCATGTTTTGTGTACACTCGCAGTTGCCATGGCAAATCCCTGGGCTCCTGTGTCTGCGCATGCGCAACGGAACGCGGCAGCTGTGTGCTGCTGACCTGCCCCCGCCGGGCCAGGGCCAGAGCCAGGCCAGGTCGCTGACTTTGTAATCCTGCGGAAGTTGATTTTATCACGTGGGTCCATTAGTTACCTTTGGTACCACAAGGCAGCGGCGCATAGTTCAAAGTTCAGTCTGGAAACTGAAACCATTCGATAGGATGGAAAGGGGCTATAAGTTTTTCCGGCTAAGAGCTGTGGTACAGAAAGTGGTCATCAAAAAGAGGTAGAGCCTTCTGTTAAGTACCTTAAAATTTTAATGTGGGAATTCAAAGCCATTCATAGCCAACAAACCATTTACCCCCACTCATTGTGAACTATTTGTGTTGCTCCGAAGGATGTCATTTGGAAGCATCAATTTAATGTGCGAATGTACTGCAGAAACAGTTTTGAATCTAGATCAGTGCCGATGAGCAAGACATTTAATGATTCGGGTGGTGTGTCAATTTCTGGTAGATGCACTTTTCCATTATTCGTCCATAGCACCAATCAACTTTCGGATGAGCGGAATATTCGATATCTGACTTGTACGAATGCGAGACAATGGTTTCTGGCTCCAGCAGGGCACATAGGTCTAAGACTTTTAGTCCATTGAATAGCTGAAGCTCCATGATCTTGGGAACAAGCTGGAGGGAAATATTTCAAAGTGCGGTGCACTTCCAATGGTCGCTGACAGAGCTCCCATCAATAAGAATGTCTGTGGAGTGGAGTGAGTGTCTGTAACCTCCGGAGGTTAGACCAAAAATGCCATCAGTCATTAATCTAATTTTTCTATTTATGGCGAGCGATTGATGGGCAACCACGGCAGAGGGCAAACGGGAACCGCCGGCCGGCGACGACTTGACAATTGGCGGCTAATTATGCAATGGCATCCCGAAAACCAGATGCCTCTCTAATGAAACGGAGAATTCTCGTACTTGGACCGCTGCAGCGGCTGCAGCTAAAATTAATTGGCCTGCCCGACAGCCCAACAGCCCAACAGCCGCCATGATGCATTCGAGGCGATAAGACCCGCTCCCGAGACCATTTTCCATTGGAAGCGATGCCATCTCTCCCCTCCCCAGTTGGCAACGTTAGAACACTCAGAATTAATGGGCCGAGTCAAGAGGCGACAGTTTTTTCAGTCAAATCAAATTACATTACATTCGCATTCGGCTTTGTTGCTACTCGTATGTAAATCTGTGAAATGGAACAACCAATTAATAAAATGCGATACTATCTGAAGGATGAGACTGTGCTGCATAACAAGAAGGACGACTGCTGGATCATTATACACAATAACGTCTATGATTTGACGCCCATGATACGGGATCGCTTGGATCACTGGAATACCGTAGGTCTTAACAGAAAAATCTCTTAATTCTTTGCTCTATCCCCATATTCTATCGAATCTTCTGCAGAACATGGATTACTTGGTAGCTCATGCGGGCAAGGATCTAACACATTTCTTCCATGAGAATGGGGAGCCCCGCACGGAGATCTCGGTTAGGACTGGCAGACCGCGTGTCCTCTTTCCACCTATCCTGGAGGTGGCTATCAGTGAGTTTGCCAAGACCAATGGCGCCATGTGGAGTCAGGATCCCTTCTATCACATTGGGAGACTCACACGACGTGCACGCCTTATTCGAATCATCAATGCCCTGACGGCCCAGACCCTGTTCATGACCGTGTGCGATGAAGACACTATCTACGACATCCAACAGAAGTACAAGCAGCACTACAATCACCATGCGGGCAGCTACGAGTGGCGCAAGTTCTCCAATGGAGTAAGTTGATCTCTGTTCTCCAGAGACACCCCTTCTTGAATGATCTCTCCCGCAGGGAAAGGCCTGCGGCCAGCTCGACCTGAACGGCACCTTGGACGAGAACGGTCTGATAGATGAGGAGGACTGCGATGTGGAGCTACCGCCCCCCTCCATTTGGCTCTACTACACAGATGATATAACCATTGCTTGAGTTCGAGTGGTGTCAAAAGTTTACAGGTTTTGGGTTCAGTTTATTGGAAATTCGTTGTGCTGCAGAGAAGTAAAGCTCATTTCAGGCTAGACTGCAGTTGGAGTTGGAGTTGGTCCAACCATTTATATAAAATTTAAACAAATTTCAACAAATGTCATGGTCGACAGAAGAGGGTAATAGGTCTAAAAGTGCAGCGGAGTTCCATAGGGTCGGGTCGGATCTATCTCTGGCTCTGAATATTTACGTGCATTATTGCTCCTGGGTGCTGCTCTTGGACTTGAATTGGCTCTTGGACCGGGTTCTGGTCTGGCTCTTGAACGGACTCTAAATTATGCGGGCTGGTGGAGCTGGAGCTGTGAACTCGTGTATGACGATCGGGGTGGTGTCTGTAGGTACAGCGCCTGCAGCTGCCCAGTTGGCACGCGTTGCAGCTACCACTGCCACTGCCACTGCCACTGCCCCGGCCAAAAGGGGGAGTGGAGTGTCGTGCTTACTGAACTGTGAACTGTTTTTCCAGTCCTATCCATATACCAGTACCAGTACCAGTACCAGTATACCGCATTAGCCGTGGCTAGAGTTATGGCTTATGGTTCTTGGAAGCTCTCCTCCTAGCCACTGGAGACGCCCACTTGTGTTGGATCTGTCTTGGGGCTTGTGGTTTGGGCTTGGGCTTGGGGTTCTTTGTTCTGCCTCCTTCTCTTGTGCTTATCTTGAGCGCATAAATAATTAATTTCAGACTCATTTTGCTTAATAATTTTTTTTGTTTAGTTGTTTAATTGCAAACCAGTTCTCTCGGCCTGGGTTGAGGTTGAAGTCGGGCCATAAATGGTCGTCAGTGCGGCTGTGTTCTTAATTTACATTGAGCAAGCGACGTGTGACAAAGAGGCCAAGATACTAGGCACTGGAGCAATCGAGGTATGTTGTGAATTATTTTAGCCGCGATGTGTGTAGGATTTTTGACAAGCCGCTGGGTTTGGCACTCGAAGGTTGCGGATATATCAATCCGCAGATCCGCAGATACTTTCCCATGCTACAAGTCAACAAAAACAGAGGCGCAGAGGCCAAAAGGAAACAGCCAAAGAGCAAAGGGAATCAATAGCCAAAGCCAAGCCAACCTGAGCCAAGACATGCACAATCTTGTGAAATACTGTTCTCTCATACCTGTTTCAGAATCTGTGGTACCTGGCACCACCTGACAGAGAGCGGGCACGATGACTCATCTGCGAACGAACACGTTTGTGCATGTCGAACCATGGGAACAGGAGCAACGCAAAGCAACTCCATCCAGTATCCAGTACCCAGTACACATATCGAACATTGGTAACCTGTCCTGCTGTCTGTCTGGGCATCAAGGTACGAGGGAGCATCATTGTTAATGGTGGGTGTGGCATAGGGGGGGCACTGCCCAGGGCTGCTCTATGGAACTGCGTTTGTCGTTTGGCCAAACCCGTTTTTGGCATGCCTCCGGGCCAGTTCGTTGCCTAAGTCTTTTGTTTGAAGCGCCACAGAGTTCAATGCGCCGCCTGCGCGTATAAGTAAGCGAAATGCATTTGCGTATTAAGTATTCATTTGTGGACAGTGGTAGCTGCCAAGATAGGGAGCAGGTGTTACCAGTAGGAAAAGAGTAAATGATGCTGTTATATTATGTCATTTGTTTGCAACTTACAGCTTAGTTGATGGAACTCGAATATCTGAACGTAAAATCTTCCTGCTGAATCGCATTTTCAAAGTTTGTCATGCCACGGCCCCGACCTGGCTTCCAAGTACATGCCACTGGCTGACAATTATTCTAAAAGAGTCCAACAACGGCGAGATCTGCCCTGACAATGGCACTGACACTGACAAAGACAAGATCCAGTGCGCTTTTCACGGCATTCCTTAGGATCAACCAACATCAGCGCGGATCGACAGCACCCACAACCACAGCAGACGTACGAATGTATGGAAGATGTAACCCACTTCAGATGTGACTGTGACCCATTCCCACAGTCCTCTACCTCCAACAAACAGCCATGCGTAGTCGTCAAGGCAGCTAAATCTGAATTCTATGCCGGTCGCATTCTTTCTTTCTTTCATTTGTTCCTCTTTCCCAAGGCATTTTCCAGGCGGAAGTGGAGGCTCTCTGGTATGCGAGCAATCTTCGTCGTTGGCGTTTTCGTCTAAGCTCCCGATCCCGCTCCCCCAGCGATTTCCCAGCTAAGCGAGCTAATTTAGTGCTTAGCTCGAAATAAACTGTTCGCTTGGCGGTTATTTTCTCAGGTTGTTCCTGCTCGTGTTGTTGATTGTGTGTGGCTGTGTTTGTGTCTGAATCCGCTTTGGGGGCAGAGGAATTTATGCAGATTAGCAGTAGAAATAGAAAGCCGAACGAGCGGAATAGTCGAAATGTTGTGTGCCATGAAGGTCAGCCACACCCAAAAGGAAGTACCACCATTCCAGCAGCCCCAAAATAGCCATCCTATACGTACTAGTAGATACATCCGTTATGGCAATCAGTGTCATTTTCAGTTTCTTTTACTGTTTTAATGTAGAGAACTCTACTGGGCCTCCGTCTCCGCCTCCTGCTCCGCACCTCTTCAAACGATTCTGTTGGGGCGTTGGTTCCGACTTCCCCCATCGGACCTTTGCATTTGGCATACAAAGCATTGACCGCTGCCGCTGCCGCTGCCTGCCTGCCTGCATTTGGCACTTGGAATTCCACACCAGCTACAACAAATTAAATAATAAATACGAAGGAAAAAAGAGTATGCGACAATAAATAGCGGAACCAAATTAGGAAGTGGCCACGCCACGCCACACCACACCACACTACACACCACAAAGTCCCCAACTCCATATTCGGGTGACCACCGTACAGGACAGCAGCAACCGCAGCAGCAGTCAAGTGGGTCTTTGTACGGTCGGCGAGCATAGACTGTCATTGGCATACTAAATATGATGGAACTGATTGATTCGGTGGCTTCTGGGCTGTGGCTCGTCTGTGGCAGTTTGGTTAGAATTGGAATTATACTATAGCATTGGCTAGCGGCTTTTTCGAGTTGCAAATAAATGATGAATAGCCACTTAGAACAAATAGTTACGCTTTATGCGATGTAGAGAAGATATATTCAAAGGGAATTTACTCCAGGAGTATATCCTGTAAAAATGATCCAATCAGTACTAGTCACAAAGAGATTTCACTACATATAGCCAAAATGACTTATAATATCTTTTTGCTGATTAGGTTCATCTTCTCCGAGGGTATTCCCTTTAATAAAATTCACATTCGAGAACCGAAACCAAAGAAAAAGTGTTAAAATTAAGTTCCTCCAATCTGGAACTTCCCTCAATATAAGTTTACATATACCCGAATGCCTCCTTCGAGTTCTTTCAAATTGATATGCAACTTTTGCACCTCTTGAGCTTGGTGAGTATTCATAAATTATTCAAAGCTTAACTGCTTCCGTTTTGGACGAGTGTCTGTCGGTCTGTCTGTGGCACTGTCATTTCTTCGATGTGGGTGTTGCCTGTGCCCCGCCCCTGTCTGGTACTCGTATTCTCTGGCAGATTGACAAGGTTCGACTTGGCCTGCGACTGAGAATGGGAGTGGGGATTGGGTCTTCGAGGGGGTCGGGGTCAGCGGGAGGACGCTGCACTTTCTTGTGGTTGGATCGGCTCGCAGCTGTTTGTATAAATATCCATTGGCAATAACAATTTCGAATGGCTGCCAACAACGAGTTTATTTTACATTTTATTGTATAATTTTCGGATGTGGTTTTCGAAGAGAAAGAAGCAAAGACAGAGGCAGAGGCAAAGACGTGGCATGGTCGCTGTTCTGTTCTGTTCAGTTCTGTAGAATAAATTAACGCGTGCAACTAAATAAAAATAAATATATTTTTATATACATTGGGGTATGTTCTCCGGGGCAGAGATCTGGTTCTGGCTGAGTGCCCTCAAGGTATGTCGCAAACGGAGCTGGACTTGGATGAAAATGGATGTGGGGGGAAAATAGAGGTGGAGACGGAGACAATGGGGCGGTTTTGGTTCGCAGCGTTTCGGAGGCCAACATTCTATGCAAATTTAATGACAGTCAAACCGTCACTCAGCAAAAGGGTTAAGGTTCGGCTGGGCCCGGGCTTCGCCTCAATTTATGGATATTAACACAATATTTGTTGTCGCCTGTCGCTTCTTGGTTAATTACCAGACGAGCCGGGCCCTTTACTGGGAATCCCTTTACCCCCGTGCAATCAAATGTTTCCCATGCAAATCGCCTGCCAGAAATCAATTAAAAGCACACGTGACATTCAAGTTCCCACATTTGTATCCTTCCATCCATTCCTGCCCCGATTGTCATTCGGCTTTTCCTCTGGTGTTCTGTTTTTTTAGTTGACCAAACACTTCCTGTGTCCCGTGTCCTGTGTCCTGTGCCCTGTGTCGAGGGAGTTTCCTCACCCGTTCGCTGGTCTTGTGCTTCCTGCAGAGCGTGGGAGCGGCTCTAGCGGCTGGCAATAATTTCCATAGACCTAAGTTCTATTGATTTATGCCCTCGCTTCTGCGGGTTTCAATTGATTTTTTAAGTGGCTCTGCGGATTATCAAATTGTGATCTGAATTTTGAGTCGATTTTTTGGTACAGAGGGAGGGTTTTGCTGTGGGTTTGCCAAATTGAATTGTTTACTTGGGCTTAGGGGAAGTGTACTCGTCCATTAAATGGGATTTGATTTATGCCAGACAAGTGTCTGGGTGGCTGGGAGAGGGGCTTACAGATTCTAACAATTTATGAGTGTGGAGAGGACCTGAGAAGGGTTAGAACTGTGTGAAATGAGGGTTGGTCTGTTGATCTGTCTTTCGATTCTTTCCCCTCCTCACTGACCACAGTTAAAGTCTTTAGCTCGAAATGGAAAGGAAACCATCATCATTCTCATCCATCCAGGTCTCAATCTGGTGTATACATTCACTTATTTGGATGGTAGACTCGTGTAACTCGTTTGGCCAACATAAACTGAAACAACAACGACAACTTCACTTTCTAACAATGATTAGTTGGCAATCTTCTCTTTTCTTTTCCTCAGTTTCTTCTATAGAGTTTTTCCCCACCGAGGAGTAA